ATAATTTAATCAATTCCTAATCAACTTCATTCCTCGAAATCGGATGAATCACACACACACACACACACACACACACACACACACACACACACACATCGTTTGCACTGTTTTTAAACGATATGACACACGAACAGATGGGTAAGTTAGTGAGAACTAATCCCACCACCACTAATTATGCAGAATGCTAAATGCGAATGTGTTAAGATGGTTTACTATAAAAAGGCGAATCTGCGGAAGCTACATCTTGTAGTTGAGAGATCACTAAATACATAGGTTGCATCTTCTTGGGGCTTCGCTGGAGCGTACATTTCGGTCAAAATCAAACCAGACATCTCGGGGTTTTACACTTTTCTTTTCTATTTTATAAACATCGGAGCCTGTTAGTCTTTGGTGTAGAACAGAGAGACAACTAAGTTGTCCGTTGAGTTTTGGACATGCATCGCAAGAAAAGGTGTCCTACATCATGCGCATTTCATGCATGCCGAAGCGAAGTTTCTCAATATCTATCCCATAAAAACAAAACCTGAGAAAGTAAAGGAGTCCACCAGAACTGCGCTTGAGACCACTGCTGTATACTAGATCGCAAAACAACATCCCCCCTCTCGCCAAAAAACGATTGGTGGCCAACCAAATAATCACCCAATAGGAGTTCTACATGGACGTTACCTGAACTGTTGCCACACCAATGCAAAACGGTTTGCTCAGCGAATTTCCAACGTGATCGATGAGATATTATCGCTGTTATCGAAATGTAGCCGTTAATTATAACTATGGATTACGAACTACCTTGACCAAATGTCTCCCTAAAGGGCGATCTCCCGATAGGTGATTCGTGAACATCGGCTGGTATACCAAGAGTCGATAGAACATAGATGCATCCCTAGCTGTTGTGTAATCACATTAACTCCAATCGTTAAACTAAATTTGGCACTAAGATGCGCGGACAGTTGCAGCCACTCTGATGGAAGCATTTGACATGCTGAAAACTAAGTATTCCAAATTTTCGCTGGTTGTACTATTAACCCGGCTCCCGACCTGTGACCCTTCTTCCAGTGTTATCGAAAGTTATGGAGTCGATTATGACAGATTACTTGATAGAACACTTGCAGTACATTCTCTGGCCGGCCCAACATGGGCTCAGGCAGAAACTATCCCGTTCAACCAACGAGCTTATTGGTCAAGATGAATGGACCAGAACAATAACCGAAAGGGACACGATGTGTGATTCATATGGAATTCCCTAAAAGCATCGGGTAAACTACCAAATACAGCTGCATAAGCTTTACAATTAAGGCACTCGAGATCTAGTGCTTGATTGGATTAGACTTTATCTCTGACAACTGACCATATCAGCTCGCGTTTCTGATTACCTATCCGGTTCTATCTACGTTACCCACGAGGTTACACAAGGGTCTGTTCTTGCTCCCAGACTTTTCCTGCTGGGGCCAAAAACAATATTACTTACTTACTTTACTTTACCGCGACTGGCTACTTAGAAAGGATAAGCTCCAGACATGATCATGAAGTTCTTTGGGAGTTTGGCACCAGAGACGTCCTCTGCGTCACAAGGCCTTTTTATTTTGAGGGTGCACCTCTAGCCTGTGCACAACCAATTGTGAACTGCAAGGTAGCAGGAAGTAATCCCTCACCTGGGTAATGAAGGGTTCAATAGTCTTACAAGGCCAGCCGCATCGACCTTTGTCACGACACCGTCATTGGGCTTATGCGGCTTTTAAACAGGAGACAGGTGACCAGGTGACCCACCAAACCCTGGTAGTGCCGCCGCTGTTTGTTCGCGACTGCTCATTTGTTGCGGCATGCCACAACTTACTCACAGCTAACCTTATTCTGTGAAGGTATCCCCCTATCCACAACCCGGGGACGCGCCTGGTAGCATTCAGCTCTGCTTAACCCAAGGAACAGCAATATTGGTTGCAGAGAAAACCAAAATCTGGAATATAATAACAGGACCTGAGGGCTCATTAACTCTCTAAAGAGACACTTAACGCAACTTGTCGATGGTCTACACTGAATAAAATCCAGTGTTTCTAAATACACAGTACCCGTCCACATGACAGGATGGAACGGAATCGTACAGAATGGGATGAGGCAACGGATCAAATACGGAGACGAATGATCTATAAATATGTACTGCATGGAGCAAGACCCAATCTCAGGATCAAAAGAGATGTCGAAAAATAAAATGGTTCTGATTCAGAGAACAGGAATTAAGTTGAACTGAATGGAGAAACCGTGAAACCGCTCACGCACACACACACAACCAAGAACAGGCACGCGAGCGCATACACACACAGACAGACGAACAGACGGACAGACAGACACGGACACACGAGCACTCATCCGAACAGGAATGCTGAATATACAAGGTTGTCCCGAGGCGAGTTGTACTCACAAATCACGACCGTTCTATAAATTACAAGTCACCGTGGGATCTGTCAGAACTAGCGAGTGAGGGAGAGATGGACAGGATACAATATTTGGATTGAATGGAGTGCGGCTGAGCGGGCGAGCGAGTGTGCGGGTGTGTAGGTGAGATGGAGCGAGAGTGTGCGGAGATACAGATAGGACCACTGACAACAACGGTACCCGCGGACAGATCGAATCCAAGGCTCATTTGGGGTGTGGTTGACGTTGTGATACCGGATTCGCACCGGCTGCTGCAGTGGATGAGGCCAATAGTTGAACAAAATTTGGTGGTAATGTTGGTGGAGGTGCACCAGTGCCTAAATTTAACAACGGTCGTGTAGAAATCAATGGTGTCACATTGTTTGCAACCAGTGGATTCCATGATTGCGTATTGCTCATCAATCCCTGGGGGACAGTTACATTTCCAATTGGACCGAACGGCATACGGGACTGACCACCGGTCAGATTCAACAAGATGGCACTGTTCAAAGTGGATGGAACAGTAAGTTGTGCACCGGCCGGACGAATGAACCCGGATGGACCGCCGGATAGCTGAATGAACAGTGGGCGAGAAATGGTGGGTGGGGATTAAGTGACTGAGTTACTATTTGTTAGCTCCTAGAACAATAACTCGACGCATCAATTAGAAAATTAGCGGAACTTGCACATGGAACCTCACTGGCTTAGAAAAACATGCGGCAGATAAGAAGCACGTCTGATAATGGGTTTTCTTTGGAAGTGCTTTGAACGCAGTGATAGTTCACTAGTACATGCAATGTGATGAGTTGTTCCGGTTGTTCGACCGGTGGACGTCGGTATTCGTCCTCGCTTTGGGACCACAAGCCTCACGTGTCCAAAAGACTTAAATGTGTCTATCCAATTGTTGGAATACCAGCATCTACAACCGAATTAATTTATCAACCAGAAAGTTTAAAGAGATCGACCTGCGAATTCGGGACTTTCTCTTCTCTAGCCTGTCATTTGTTTTGGCATTAGAGAACTCAAGTCTCTTACCTTCTCTAGGTTTGGAAGATCCACGACCGCCATTGTTTGTAACACTCGGCCATGTCACTCGGTGTCTCTAATCAGCAGTTACCATAATCCCGAGGGTCCCATCCAGAGAGCCTAACGGGACCTATGTGATCGAATCTCCTGGCTAGGGTTTTCACACCCTCATACCAGATATTCGAGCGGATAAATAATTTCTCGAACTTTTTCGATGGAAAGTGAAGTGGCATCACTTCTAATCGCATACGCCTATGATTGTGATAGTATTCACGAGGATGAGGTTGTCCAAAACTCCGGCATTCCGGCTTCTGGTCTGTTTGATACCAATTTTTACGAAACTCCGGACAATAAAACGTGCCTTACGAATTGCTAATCCACGCACGACGTGCGCAGACGCTCCATTGTTGATGAATTCTGACCCCACAAAATAATTTCATGCAAAATAGATCACGAAAAATAAAGATAACCCCGACTACCGCATACAGTTTCGAAAATTCGTCTTAAACATGATTCGGGTCATTAGCCGAGGTTTTGAAGTGTTTAGTTACAAATTTTCTATGTATTTCTTACAAACGTTAATTCGTACACTGAAAGGCTAAGAAGCACTGGACAGCTGTTTCGATTCGGTTGGGTCTCATCAGCGTTGCGATTCCGTTGACCCAAATGGGGATCGATTTTCTTCAGTCCACTTTCTTTATTATCTTCTAGCCTCCATGTTATGCTCAATCATTTGGAATCAAAAGACTAGCACAGCCTGGTACCCTTCGAAATGCATTAGTAACCTAGACTGAAAGATCATCATCATCATCATCCTTGCGGCCTCGTTATCGACCTTAACAGCCGGTATTGACAGACCTAATGATTATTGATCTGTATTTCACCCGTTGACCTTGTAAATCATTTTGATAGAATTACAGTCAGCCCGTTCCGGTTTAGTAACTTGTGTTCTACCTCTAATCAGGGGTGCACAGTTATAACAGGATGCACTTCTGATGACTATTCTGTTACGTATGAATCCGTGATGCGTCGAGGGACACAGAAAATCGCATATTCGGAAACTGTTAGGCATCGTGGAGGACGGACGAGCATTGCTCAGTAACGAATGGGAGCGGGGAGAAATAGAAAGTATCCTATCACCAAACGAATGTCCGTCAACATGTCTATCGTTATACTGTGAGTTATTCTCACCAATGGCAATGCTCTGGAGTAACTTGAAAATAGTGATTATAAAAAATCCAGCTGACTCGAGTACGGAGACATTCAATAGCGAAAATAATTCACCTGGAACGTCAATGGATCTACCGGATTTATTCCACTTGAGCCAAGCCACTTGTGAGATTCGACAGCAGTGGAGTCTGCTGCAGATGATGATGCATTGGCCAAATGAGCGCGCTGTTGCCCACCGGTCAACGACACCGATTGTTTGTGAAATGACGAATCGGTAGACGGTTGAACTAAGCCGGGAAAATGCACCACCTGGTTCGAAACAGAATTTGCATCCGTGCCAATTGCGTTCTCAAACAGCGAGGTTGCGACTCCGTTACCAGGGAGCAGAAAACCCGCGAACTCCGCTAATCAGAGGTGGGGGTGGGGTGAGTGGATAGAAGCGGACATGTGTTGGTGACGATATAAACTAGGATAGCGCACAGTGAAAAGTAAAATAGTATAGACGATAAAAGTACCTTCATAACCAGGTGTTGATTATTTTTCCGGGAGGGGTGTAGTTCGTACCATAATGACAATTTGGATCTGCAGCAAATCATCCCGTATCCCGAAAATCATGACGATCACAAAATGAGTGACGGCAGGCATTTAACGGTATCGCTAAATATTTCAAAGGAGAAACACCGGAAATCACAGTCATCTAACCAGAAAGCGGGTCAGAGCGTGTTCAGGCAGAAGGAATCGAAAAACAACATGTTAAATAAGTGATGTATATGTTGCTCTGACAGAGACCCTTATGGGAATCAATTTGTTCCACCAATCCAGTTTCACGAGGACAAAACGTGCATTTGGATGCACGAATTCTACGATAACAGTGACCTTTTGACAGGTCCAATGTTGCACGCACATATACTGACAGTCGTTTGACATACTGGAGAATGGGTAGAGGAGAACAAAACAACTCTTTCTTCTCGTTTCCATCAACTCATAGGAACGTGGTGCGGAGTTCAATAGCAAGAAGTAGTTGTCAAATATTCGTGTGCATCTCTGTGTATATTTCGTGAACTCCATGCACTTCAGTCAAATTACGAATGGTGGGCAAGACATAGAGACCGTAAAAAAGGGGTCGGGGACTGGTAGTAAACGGTTGGATGAAGACAGAAAAACCAACGATTCAAGCCAGACAAACGAACAGTTGCTTCATTGCGAATGCACAGACCCACGGGGCACTTAACTGGAGATGAACACACACTGCGATCCGTCATCACGTCTACGGAAAGATACATTACAGCGCAGACGAACTGTCAACTTGATGCAAAAACCAGTCAATAGCAAAAAAGAAGAATGTGATAAGACAGCTCGGGATAGGAACGCAAGCATCATAACAGGACGATCACCGAAAAAAATGAAAGGGAGAACGAGAACGCAATCAACTTGCTCTTCAGTTTTGTGAGACCAGGCAGGGTAAACCAAATGTTACAATAATATACATGTCAGATGTAGAACAGTATTACATTTGAATTAAATTTGAAGTAAAGTGATTTAAGGGGTAGGTTAGCTTCCTGTGTAAACTAGCACAACGCAATCGGAAAGGCCTAGATAGAAAGATACAGGAATGAAAACAAAATCACGAACAATGGTATTTCGATTGAAGGGAATATTTTTGTCGGATGGCAGATCAAGCTAGAAGTAAAACATTCAAAGATTCAAAGATTTATTATGGGAATAACTTACAAGCTCATGCTTTTCTGGTCCCATAGGTTCGTGCGGTGGATTAAGAAAGAGTGATACGTACAATTCTTTTTGTAAACTGTTACGTGATGCGTGCGTTTTCCACTGCTTTACGCAGCTTCACTTATGTTGGAACGTAAGATGTGCTAGTGTTTCATCGAGCCTCAGTTTGAAAGACTCAAT